TTGTCTACAAAATGGTTTATTTACTTTTGAGTTCTGACTTTTTCAAAAATTTCTGCAAATAAAACAAAATCATAGAAAAACGTCACGGAATTACGTACGCAGGTAGAGTTAGCTGGCCAGGCCGTTTATTCCTTGCACCAGTCTGCTTTCGTTCTTTTTATTGTATCTGTACGCAGCACTCAACTTTTCAAGGGAAGATCTAACGAAATATGGCTTATCCTTCCACTGGTTAATCACTATCACTCCATTTCAAGCATAATTCATCTCTCATTATTCATCTTATGTCGTTCTACTTTTCTGTGTATGGTGAATCTCTCTCCTGTTGTTTGTTTCGTAGTCCGTCAAACTTCACTACTCTCTTGTCAGTTATTGCACTATATACAGTCACTGTATAGCACGTACATTTCAGTCTAATAAACTCAGTAAACCATAGATTTCCTTTCGACTAACATCAGATCATTTTAGGCAGTTAAATATAAACACGAGGCGGCAAGTGACGAGTTAGTTTTTCAAAATTAAAATGTTTTTTCTCACAATGAATAATATTTATGTTATTTTGACATTAACTAGTCTGCATTATTTAAGTGGTATGTATATGATCTATACGAAATTAAACCACTGATCTTAAAACCGCTTCTCAGGTCGAATTCGCCCTATTCGATCCTATAGGATACTTTTAATTTTGGTGATTTTCGGAGTTCGGACGGTCGACTGAAACTGGAGACGGGCGCTTCCCGATATCTGAATTCTGGAGGAATCAGAGATCGAATCCGATATCCGGAATCAGTCGGATCCGTTAGTTTCCAGTCATCGCAAATCGACAAATCCTGTTGTGCGCACTTTGTGTTTTTTTTCCTTCTTTTCTGTGCGCATAATATATTCACCGTTTTGTTTCGCGACAGTAGTACTTTAAATATGACATTGCAGAAAATGAAAAACAAGAAAATTTTCTTCTGAAATTCTTAACAGTGTGAATCATCGTTCACACTGGTTAACAGACGTGTTTTACACGCCATAGCTAGTAGGCCCTTACACTCTTGAATGGGAGTACGAGTGACAGGAGTCACTAGAAAATGAACTAAACAAGAATAGAAAATAAAAAATCTAATGCTAGTTTTAACCTTCAAACATCTGAACACCGGTCATGTTCTGCCAAATTCAGCGAACTCCGATGTCTAGAACTCCTGAAGAATCCTATTGGAGTTTTACTGACGTCTTCCGGCACGGAATCCGACCGCCAGGATTCCGACATAATACAACATGGTTCCGGTAGGATTGTGCCAGATTTTGTCGAATTCCGATATGATCCGGTCGGATCTTTCAGGAAATTGTCTTCGGAATCATCGGCCCGGGTTGTGTATCATAATTTTGTTCTGGTATTTCTCACGAATAATGTTTATGTTATTTTAACATTAATTAGTCTATTATTTAAGTGGTATGGTAACAGCTTCTCTGTGTATATATTTTTTTGGCTACAAAATAACTACTTTATCAATACTACCATCGATTCAAAATTGACCCGTAATCAAGTCAGTATTTGCTGAATGTGCTTCGACTACAATGATCATTCCCTATGCAAAATTTTCTTGATCAGTGGCTGCTATCTGTGTTTGTTTTAGTCAGAGTCTCTGTACTCTCTAAGTGTCACACGAAATCTTTTCGTGCTCATACTTCTCTAAACCCTGTGATCTCTGAAACAATTTTTTGTTTCGTGCTACCTGTTAAATCGTTTATATGATTTCGTAGTTGGAAAACAGTTTCGTGGAAATGTATCAAACTGTCATTGGTTTGATACGAAGTCCTTCAGAGCTGTCACACAACCGTATAAGCCACTGAATATTTTTATTGGTTGGTATGATTTTGTAGAAAACCGTTGAAAGGTTTTGTACGTTTCCACGGGACCATATGAACGGTTTTATATTTATTAGGCAACTAATTTTGAAGTTCATAGGGTTAAAGAAGTGCAACCATTTCTAGATCGTTCCGCAGACGTATGAAACTTTCTTTTAGAGTACACTAGCATCACAGGACGACTGCATGATTTGGGATTGATTTATCTTCATCGTACAGTTAGAAAAGAGAAGTGATAAGGTGCGTGTGTAATTGTGTGAAAAAATTACTAAATTAAAAATAGTCTATAATTAGATAAAAAGATATTTCATAGTACACAGAAATTTTATAGGAAAAAGTAAAATAGATTTGAGTAAAAGCTGCTAAAAATGTGATCATTATTATTGTATTTATGTTTTTTCTTATGTTTAGTTTCTGAAGCGAAAATAAATAGATTTTGGATACGTAGGCAAGCATTGAAAGCACATAATGAATATCGCACAAAACATTGTGCTCCTCCATTGACTCTGAGCAGGAGATTGAATGGCATAGCTCAAAAATATGCCGAACATTTGGCGAGCACGAAAACATTTGAACATAGTCATACGAAAGGTTTAGGAGAAAATTTATGGATGTTAACAAGTTCTGAAAAAATAAAACATGTAAAAGGTATGTTTCTTTCATTTATACCTATTCTGTTATAGAAGAAAACTTAATAACTCAGAACTATATCATAGGCTCAGCGGCTACGAAGGATTGGTACGACGAAGTACAACATTATAATTTTGGTCAACCCGGTTTCTCACACGCAACTGGCCATTTCACTCAACTCGTGTGGAATTCATCAAAGAAAATGGGATTAGGTGTGGCTTTATCAAGCGATAAAAAATCTGTCTATGTTGTGGCTAATTATGAACCGGCTGGTAACACGGTTAATGCAGGATATTTTGAAAAAAATGTTCTAGAAGCAAAATGTTAAGATGAAATGATAAAATTTCAATGTTTTTTTTGTATATAAGTTCAATATTTATCTGCAAATAGATAATTTCACTTTAAATAATCAAAATATAGTTTTTCAGCGGGAAAAACTCATCGAGATCTCGTATATGTACATTTTTGTGAATTGAGAATAAAATTAGATTGTGCATAATTTTATAATGTCATTTCATCTGTTTCTGTTTGCTGATTTCGTATCTCTTAAGTAACTTATAAAAGAATACAAGAGTTAAATGAGACCTAATTTTTTCTAGCCTGAGTCATTTTTGCCTTTAGTTATTCTTTCAGACCGCAAGTTCAGCGACATTTTGCTACTATATTTTTAGCCACTTTTATACAGAAGTTTGTGAAAATACCGAGACTAAAAATCATGAGTTTTATAACGACAAGATTTCAGCTTGATGGAAATGCACATCATCGCAGGAAATCGTTTACTGGTCCAATTCTACAAAATGTGATGCATCTCGTCGTGTCTTTCGAAGTCGATGTATTGGTGATGTATTTAATGTAGATATATTCCTTTTTTAATTCCAACTTGTGGTTTGTTAGCTTCATTACGAGTTGAAATGGCAATAATTATTTCTCAACTTTTGTACACAGACGCATTAACATCGAAATTTTTTGAAAACATGAGCTCTAGAATACGATAAGAAAAACCTGCTCATCTCTTTTATGCATATATACATCTGTTATTACACGTCTAGCGAGCCTGCTTGTTGATAGTATTCCGTTCAATTTCAATAAATCTTAATATAGACATGTAGAATACTTATTTATTTCAATTTATTCTGTTTGGGACTGTTACTATTAATTTCGTAATCACGAAAGTAGATGACGGTGAAACTACACTTTCGCTCTTTACAAATAAAATTATTCAAGTGGGTATCGCAAAGTTTTCAATTGGATAGTTTCTCTACCTTGAGTATTACTGTCAAAGGTATAATATATTTTACAACGACTTAGGTGATTTAGATAAGTTTTGAGTGTTATAGCAAATTTAATAATCGACTTGTCTTGTTATAAAATCTCTCAAACATGATCATGTTATATTACATTTCAGCCTGTTAAGTGTTTCTGACTAGTTTATTTAGTTATTTTATTTGTGATCAAACTTTATAGTTTTACTTTGAAAAATACAATCACCAGTCATAACGTCTGTTTCCTAAACTTTATTTGCATAATGAGCTAGACCGGCCACAGCTGATGTAAAACCAGCATTGTAGTCAGTAGCAACTTCATTTTTAATATAATCATCTCGCTTATCTTCGTAAAAATCTTGTTGATCTGGACCACCAACTAATGCACCTACTAACAATTGTGGATTTGGATTAGGGCTGTTGTAGGCATTCCAATCACATAGAGCTGGACGATTTGGGCATGAGCTAAACGATACAGTCATCACATATCTTGAATGCAAAGAGGGATGAAAAAGAGTTGTACTATACCTGGATCGATGGTGTGGTTTCTTTGGATAATCGTTACCGAAACCTATCACATAACTTCGGCCAGAATCGCCCAAAATATAATTAATTTGTTTGGCAGCAAAATTAACATATTCTTGAGTATTAATCCCAGCCGCGGCGGCCTACAGATGTTTCATAGCTGTCGTGAAGTTTATGATAAAAAAACAGGCACTACACTTACTTGAAGACAAACAAATGCCACATTTCCTGCATGTCTTAACGCACCCCACTGACTCAAGAATACTAAACCTTTCGGTGATTTCGGTGCATTTCGTACAATGTAATTACAAAAACTTTCAGCAGCCTGTTTGAACTTTTGTTCTCCCGTGACTCTGGCCATCAGTATCTGAACTCCTGCTTTCTTATCATCCCATCCAAATTCTTGCGGTTGTCCACCTAAGCTAAATTCGTTCCAATGTGAATCAACTTCAAAACGATATCGTGGATCACTAGTAGCACGATATAACCACGCAGCGCCCCATGCCAATTCATCTCCATATCCAGACCAAGAATTGTAGAAAGAAGATGCGTTCGGAATAGAATCTGAATATTTGCCACGACGATCATTTGCAAAATCATAAAGTTCACGAGCATGATGAATGAGAGTGTCAGAATACGCTTTGTCAGCAGTGCGAAATACCATAGCGGTGGCAGCAAGAGCAGCAGCTGTTTCAGCGAGAAGATCAGAACCAGGTTTGTCATTGGTCAATTTCCATGCAGGTCGATTTTTTGTCCAATCTTCTGGTCGAGACCACGATGCATGATCATCGTTACCGTCACCTACTTGTCCGTAGAATTCACGTTTAGATACATGACACTAAAATATATGCAAGATCGATTTTCTTATATGAAGCAATAAATAGTTTTTTCTAACCTTGATAAAATAATCAGTTGCCCATTTGAGTGCTTCTCTTGCATTCACTAGTTCTCCTGCCGTGGCATATGCATCTTCGTAATCTAATACACCCCACGCCAACAGTGTTGTCGTACCAGCCATTGGAAAATTAAATTTAACATAATCACCCGCATCAAAATAGCCTCCGGTTAGATCCTCTCCATTTTCTCCGCGATCCATTAACATTGAATCACTTCTCCATGGGATACGATTATTTGCCGGTAATTTACCAGCTCGCTGGGCTTCATAAAACAAGAGTGATGCACGTAATACCGCACCATAATCATAATTTCCATTAGGTAATGTGGGATTTATTGGACCTTGAGTGGAACCAGCTGGAGTTGTTGCTGCTGTTGTACCAGGATTAACCGGAATATTCTCACCCAAATCAATATTTTGGCCATTGATAGTTGCTTGAATCAGATTACCACTGACTCCCTTGAAATCCACAACAAATTTGAATTCATAAGTGGATCCGCTCGCTAGATTACCATTATAGTCTTTATTACGAAGGACGTACGTTTGATCACCTACGTTCGATTGTACATCGCCTAACCAAGCCTAACAGATAACGAGAACATAATATTTTGTAGAATATTCAAAATAAAACTTACTTGGAGACTAACAGGTCCTGCAAACTTTAACATTATCTCCCATCCGTTGATAGTATTACCAATAGGAATTGATAAAGTAGCTTCGTAACCATTTGGCCATTGGTTGACAATCTGTAAACCAGCTAATGTCAAACCAATGAGTGCAACTAGAACAAGTATGCCAAATTGTGCCTAAGTAATTATAAGACTCATGAACACGTTAAGAAATGGTGACATCTCATGGGTTGTTCTTTCGAAAACCTACCACGTTTGCAATCGACTTTATCCCAACAGTTTGAAAGTGACAGAACTAGCACAACTCGAGCTTCTAATGGCGAATATCTCATTTAAAACATGTTTAAACATCGGCATCGTAGTCTTCTAGACCTTTGGAGATCCCATTTCACAGCAGAACAGATGTTTTCTGGGAATTTT